ATCCCGTGTATCATTTTAGTTCACATTATTTTGCATCATAGTTGAAGTTGCAGGACCATTATTAATTCTGTCACAGAAAGAAGAGTCACTGCAGAACTCTTCAGAAGCTTGGAGGGAAAATAAGGGTCACACATTTCAAGCTCTAGAAAATACACAATTTCTAAAAAGCTTGTTTTATTTGTATTTTTATAACTAGAATATTAGTCATACAGCATAAAACATTACAACAACTGGAAATTAAACAGTATATCAAGTAAACAGATGGAGATTTTTCTTAATGTTAGCAAAAAGATTTTCAATGTAATCTGCAAGACACTTAGCTTGCTCTGCCCTGGGAATCCTATCCATCAATCCCAGGAAAAGAGGTAGCTACAGAAACTCTTTGAAAATCACTGGAAAATTAGTTAGACTTTCTGTTGCAGGTTGACAGTGAAGCAGCATCAAGAACAGTGTTGTCCTCTCCCCTAGATGCTTTTCACAGTTCAAAGACTGAGGATATCCTGTCATTTTTATTTCTTTGGGAACAATTCTTCAGCAGATTTCTAAAATATTACATCCCAGGTAGCAGAGTGCAGGACTCAATTTAACCCATTTTGGGACTTATTTCCGAGCCCCAGTTGCTTCACTTACCAGTCTCTAGTTTCTCTCTAGAGAAAGACTTAAAGAGGGACAGAAGAATACCAAATATTTTGTCCATTCAATTATCAAAGGTTTATAAAGAACAAAGAATTTCCTTCGCTTACCTAAATTAAATAAGGACAAGGCTGAGAAAAAATTTTAAATGGCAGTAACAAAATTCAAAATGTTATCAGTGTCGTATTTTCAACTCCACGTCTTTGTTTCTTATAGTGGCATCTTTATCATCCCCCTAATGAAAATAACCCAAAACTTCCTGTAGAAAATAAAACCATGTATGAAATGGCTGCAGAGAGAATTCCCTCCCCCAAAAAACATAACAGGGTCTTATGACACCAGATATGACACCACAAATGTCATAACCACGTACCTAGGCTACATGAAACTGGCTCTAGAAGTTAAAAGAAAACTATTCAAAACTTCCTGAGATCATCTGATATTTGGAAATGGGCTCTGCAGTTTTCCTCTGCCTGAAAAGCAAACACCTCTGCACAAGACTTTATTCAAAAGCTACTGATTATCCTACAAGAATTAGATCTCAACCAAATGGAAAACAATGAGGTTTGTTTCACTCCCATATGGAATCTAGTTAAGTTTGCCAAGAAAATAAGCTTGCTGAAAAAAAAAAGAGAACAGTAGTTTGTGTTCATCTAGCCCCTCATCTAGCCACTAAAAAGTAATTTTGCTAACTCCCTGGGATAGAATAAAGAACAAAAATAGAGATACAATGACTAATAAACTAGTATATATCACTGTATTTATACTAAAGCACAGTAACTCTTAAAACGATTTCATTTCTGCAAGGTGAAAACACATAAGAAGGAAGAAAATCTTCTATCCATGGTGGACAGTTACTTTGGTTCACTCTTTCATCTTTTAAGTAGTTTCTCTTTCCCTTAAGAGATTTTTTTTTTTTTTAAATCCTGTTATTTCTTATGCAGATGCTTCTCATAAAAGTACTCAGATTCGAATGCTAAACTACCTTCTGTGCCAGACTGTTGCGGAAAATAGAGACGAATGGGAACGATATGAGGCATGGAGAAGAATATATAATCCCTGAGATGGACTTCTATTGTTAAGATGGACACTGAATCCTGGAAAGGACTTTATATCGGATAGACAGTTTACCCTTGTGGTCGCCAGTTATCCCTAGTTTATGTTTATGTGGTTCCAATGTTATATGTACCCCTTGTTGTAGTTTTAAAAAATCCCATTCTCCATATTGTCTCCTTCTTCCCCTCACAGTTTTCCCGCCAAAGCCTGTTGCTCTCCCCCGCTTTCCCGCTCCTCTGCCTGTGATTGGTCACTGTTTGCCGCAGTGCAGAGGTAGCTGTCATTGGTCCATTCCCCCAGATACCCGAAGTTGCCACCTCTCCTGACCCCGATATCCAATCCCTGCCTTCCCTGACCTGCCAATCTTTTTCTCCTCCCCTCGCTTGAGCCCAGCCCCTAGTTCTCCTCTATATAAGTCTGTGTCCCTCATAATAAAATTGGCATTGCTTCCTCACCCTCAGTCGTGTCCTTGTCCTTTCTGCAGTGCCCTTTCCTGTTCCCTTTCACCCACGAGCAGTGGCACCAGACAACTGCTTTTTATAATAACAAAAATTATTTTTTGTGGTCGTTTTGATTTTTTTTTTTTTTTACAAACCTAATCATTGAGTCTTCTATTTACTGAACAGACATAATATATTCTGCTTTTAACATCTAGGCATTTTTCTCCTATGATATATAGAAACAATTATTCTCTGCTCAGCAGGTACCACACAGCATTAGTCCATGGCTAGCAAGTCTATTTTATGTATCAAGCAAACCCTGGAAATCTTCTTTTATTTCTTATAAAGGAGCTTTCAAAAAGAAAAAAAGAACTGTATGAAAGGCTAAAGAACCTTACCAACCCTGAACCATTTTAACTTTCTCAGTTTAATTTCCAAGATAACTTCTCTTAATCCCCTTTTTTACTGTAAACATCATGCAACCTGAGGGCTTTCAGCCTGGTCACAAAACAACTAGATGTAATGAACCAAATAAAGCAAATGATTGGGAAAAGCTACAATGGATTTACTGAGGGCAAATCATGCCAACTAACCTGATCAGCTTCTACAACAAAATAACCTCTTCTGTCGACATAGGGAGAACAGCAGGATGTTGTTTACCTGGACTTCTGTAAAGCATTCAACACTGTTTCCCACAGCCTTCTCCTGGACACACTGGCAAGATACAGACAGGATGGGCTATCAGCAAGATGGGTAGGAAACAGGCTTGCAGGTCAGACTCAGGGTGGTGATCATAGGTTTTTACTTAGGCTGGCAGCCTGTCACAAGTCATCCCTCAGGGATAAATACAGGGCCCCATGCTGTTCAGCATCTTCATAAATCACTGGGGTGATGGGATTGAAAGTACCCTCACCAAGTTTGCTGATGACACATCAGCAGGGAAAGCCATCCTACAGAGAGACCTGGACAGGCTGGAAGAGCGGAGTAGCAAGAACAGTATGACATGTAACAGAGAAGTGCAAGGTCCTGCACCTGGGACAACACAACCAAAGAGCCCAGCACAGGACAGGATCTGTATGGCTGGGGAGCAGCTGTGCTCAAAGGGACATGAGGGTCTTGGTGAACAAGCCGAATGTGAGTCAGGAGTGTGCCACTGCAGCAATGAAGGTAAATCAAATCCTGGGCTGTATCCACACGAGCAGTACCAGCAGAGATAAGGAAATGACCATCCCACTCTACTCAACATTTCCCAGGCCACACCTGGAGTACCATGCCCAGTTCCCATCCCCACAATTCAAGAAAGATGCAGACAAACCAGAGATGGTCCAAAGAAGGGCCACAAAAGTGACCAAAGGGCTATAGAACATGCCCTTTGAGGAAAGACAGAAAGAGTTAAACCTTTTCTCCCTGGAGAAGAGAAGGCTCGGAGAGGACCTCACAACAGTATTCAAGTACTTAATAGGTAGCTACAAAGCCGATGGAGTCTCTCTCTTCAAAGGAAGCCACCTGGAGAAGTCAAGGGAAAACGGGAACAAGCTGCACCAGAAGTGGTTTCATCTCAGCATAAAAATAGACATTTTTTACAGCGAGAACTATCATTCACTGCAACAACCTCCTCAGTGATGTGGTAGCGATCCCATCACTGGAGGTTTTCAAGATGAGATTAGACAGGATGCTAGATAATTTCATCTAGGCTCCCACTCCCAGGAAAATTTGGACCAGATGATCTTTCAAGGTCCTTTCCAACCTGAGCTGTTTTATGATTTTGTGAGTGTAATTTATGAAAGCAAATACAAAAATTTTTGTATCTACTCTAGCTTTATTCTCCCTTTTTCCCTCAAGACGATGTTGAAATCAGTGGGGTCATTCTAACCATTCCTTGGCAGGTTTAAGGTTTAGACTGTTGTCCCATGCCACTAGCTCCTTTCACCTTCATTTTAACTTCTTAAAAGAGTCAAGAACAACATTCCACATCACAGGCCGTTTTCAACCACCCAAAGTTTTCCCTTGGGTAACAGAGGCGTTATGGCAACTGAGTTTCCAAGGCTGTGTGAGGCTCGTGGTAGCCTACCTTCAGAGATGCAATGATCTCATGTTTCTTAAATTTCTCTGCCTGAAGGAACTGAGACTAAAAACAAATCTATGAAACAAACCAATGTGACTGAAATAGAGCAGAATGACATACTTTATCTAAGCTATTTTTAGAGAAATGCATTAAAACCTTCAATTCTGGTTAAAAATATTTTTCTTCCACATTTTCCCCTTTTTCTTTAGCACTTGCAAGTTGTTGCTATCCTCCTTCTTCCAAAGCAATTTACATCCAAGTGACTTAAAGAAATGAGATGTTATTTCTCACAAGCATTCTCATCCTAGAAATAAAACAAACAAGATACAGAACTATTTCACTATGAAAGTAGTCCACATTGTTTCTAGATAATGCATTAGTACACAAAGCTTATATAAATGTTTCATTTACTGAAGTAGAAATACATCTAGCATGGCAAATAATACAGTCTTAATAAAAAGGTGTTAACAAAAGAAGGCTGGCCAAGTAAGATGCACATCATCTTTGATCCCTGAAGCAGAAGAAATCTGAGAACAGCCAGCATGCCTAACAAGCACAGTCTTCTGAGTCTCATTTGCCAAACTTCACCAAGCAGCCTGGCTAGGGAAAAAAAGGAAAAAAAAAAAGACTTTTCCTACTCACAACTCACTACATCCACTGCCTGTGTCCCACTCCTCCTCCACACCCATGGTACAATGGCTGTGTGAGCCCCAGGGCGGCAAAAGTAACAGCTGGGGAGACACTGGAAAGATAGATTGTGCAAAGCATGGGAAAACCTCACCTTACTCTCATCCTGCTAAAGCTAAACAGAGTAACAGCAACTTTATAATATATATTCCTCAACACTCATGCCTGTTCCCCTCCACGAAAATCTTTAGTAATGGGCAATGGATTTATACGATCTGAAGAGAAACCAGAGTATCCCAGGAAGTGTTCAAAAGACATGTGGATGTGGCACTCAGGGATATGGCTGGACTCAATGACCTTAGAGGTTTTTCCCAACCTTAACGATTCCATGATTGTATTCTACATTGCCATTATACACTATATATACATACTATTCATGTGTTGGTTCTAAATTTTTAACTGTACAAAAAAGCTTACTCATGGGGAAAATAGTCTTAAATTCTGCAGTTTGACACATATTCCACGTACTTATCCTATTCAGTTAAGGCAAGATTCTCCTTGAATCTTGGATACAAAAGGCATGTCCACAACTGAAAATCATAATTTCTCAAGATGCACTCCTTATAAATACAATATACAGTTTTAATATAATCCCTGCTATGGAAGTTTACCATGAGATTCACTAAATCACAGTTCTGAAACCCTTATTAAAACCAGATTCTTCTTAAAATGTACACTCTGTTATACACATTCTGTAAACTCCCTGGACAAAGCATTAAAAAGTTTAACTTTATAGAATCTCAGGCATTTTATAATAAAAAAGAAATACGACATATAAAGAACAGAATAAATTCAATTACCTACATTAGCAAAAGGTGTCTTTTTTCTATGTAAACCTGATTTTATATTTTCAAGATGTATAGTTTGTCTTTCATCCTGAAATATGAAGGTTCATGACCATCATGAATTACTGTTTTCCTACCTTTTTACATTTTGAAACAAAATCTAGGGCAGTTTCAACAAAATTCTAGAAAATAATAAAGAAAATGCAAATTTGCAAAACTGAAATTCATGTTTTATATGTATTTTGTGTTAATAAATAAATCGAATTTCTTTGATTATTCTTAATAAATAAATCACATTTCTTATGTGTGACAACAAATCTCTTACCCGTTTGTGGGTTATATGGTTTGGTTTTGTTTTAAAACAAGGGACCACTACTCCTTTTTCTTTCTACAGTTATCATTAAATAGCGGTCTCCAAGCAATGTTTGCTTAAGCGTCTCTAATACAGTTAAGAAAGAACTCTTCCTTTAATCTTAAGAGGGCAAGAAAACCGCAAAAATAACAAACCACAAATTTTTTAATACAGTGTTATATAAACTTTTACATAATTCACCACACTGCTGAATAGAAAATGTTATGTGAAAGGGATCATCACTTTCAATAGATTATGATCAGACTTTCCACACAGCAAACCATCCTGAGTTGTCCTGAAAAACATGCTTCAGATATCATTAAGCCTGAACCAGAAAACAGATGCTTAAAAATAACTTTTGCACTTCTAACCTTTTAGACTGCACCATTCAATTATGCATGCTTTTCTGAATATCAGTCTGAAAATAAAACAGAGCTCTAAGTATTGCCCAGAAGGAAAAAAAGAAGAAAGAAAATTACACAGCCTGCAGGCATAAAGAGGATGTGGCTCTCATAAGGCTGGAACCCGGCGCTGCCTGGCAACGCGGCAGGAGAGCACGTGCATCAGAAAAGAGTTGCATGATGGACAATAGTAAAGTGAGAGTTAAATGTTGCAAAATCACTTTTTCCAGTCATCCTCAGACAAAATAAACATATCAAGAGGGAAACTGAAAGCAAAATAGGACACTGCTAATGGAATTTAAGTGGTCTTTATTCCTAGTTTTCAAAATAAACAAGAGCAGAAGTGAGAGATTTCCAAAACAGTGAGCAGCTGGAGGACAACCAGAAAGCAGTGATATGATTGATCAAAACCTCTGCAAAACATATTTACTAAGGTAACAGGAACACAATTCCATATCCTACAGCAATGTTCAGAATAGATGGGGAAAAGAGGAAGGTTTCTCAAAGCTTTTTTAAATGACTGCCATCGCATAATGAGAAACATTCAACTACAAATGAACAATCATTTAGGATGTATAAAGAAAATAACCAAAAGATTTTTCTCACAACATTACAATACAAGAGAGATCTTAGTGTTGACATAAGCATGGAGATAGATGTCAACATCAGTGTAACTTTGTCATTGCTAAACCAAATTTCAAGTGGGCATTGATAGGGCTTAAGAGAGGAATTAAGCCAGTTGGGCACAGTTCCACTGATAAGAAAGAGGCAAGCCTTCAGCATATAGGCAACTCTAGCATCAAATATCATATATTTTCTGTGTCAATCCACAAAGCCAGGCTGTATATAGAAGAGCAGCTACTGAAAGCAGTTTGTAGAACCTACAGGACCGCTGACCGAACTACAAAAATGAGAAGATTTTCAGATCACACAAAAGTGCTTTTTAGAAAGGATGTATCTCTTTGATTCAATTTAAGGATGCAAGTATTTCAACCACTGTTTGTTTATAACCCTAAATTCCTACTTCAGAGAATCTCTTTCTCTGTGACACTAAACAGTGAGGAGTCACTACACCATCAGCCATCTCATTGCAGGGGGTGGGGAGGTGCTACCCAGCAGACATCACACTGAAAGACAAAGCAGCCTCCACATTTAGAACTTACTCATAAGTATTTATGTTACAGGAGTCACTGTACATGCCCCACATGGAAAGTCTCTCTCTTGCATCTGCAACGCAAGTTTAAGTTCTGTACATGTCAGAGTTTTCTACTGGTGATGCTCAATTTCTTGGGTTCAGTACAGTAAATAAATACTGAAGATGCACAGATGTACAGTGGTGTAAAGAAAAAAAGATTACGAGGGTATCACCCCATGTAGGACATGCCTACCTCAAATAGAAAACAAAAAACAACATCCCACACACCAAAGCCCTAAAAAAAGTCATCCTTAACAGGTATCTTCAGCATTGTCTACACCAAGAGTTTCTGCTGTGCAAGAAGGTACATGCTCAAACTTGATCAGTGCATATATGTTGATGGCATTTTTTAAGCATGTCTCTAGGAATGCAAAAACCCCTAACACAAGAAGACAAAACATACAGCCCATGTCTCATCAGTTACAGGTATGAATGTTTGTTCTGGTTTCTGAATGTTTTTTTAATTTGGTTTTTTGGGGGTTTGGGGTTTGGTTGTTTTGTTTTGTTTTGGGGGTGGGGTGGTGTTTTTTTCCCCTAGTTTGATTTTGTTTGAAACAGGCAATGGCAGTTTCAAATAATTTGAAAGGACAGGGAGTCTGTACGGAATGCCTAACAAAAGCACTGACGTAATACAGCAAAACTTCCTGAATGCCCACATTCACTGCCTGAATTCAGAAGCAAAAGGGGTACTGCCATCTTCTCTTGCCAAAGGCTGAAAATTACACATTCAGATGCCAGTAGAAGACTTGCAAGAGTTTAACAGAAATAATGATACCGTGTACTGCCAGGTACAAAGGCTTTATATACCTCTTACTCCCACTATCTGAATGATGCTTTTAAGAGAGGAAAAAAAAGTAATTTGCTTTGTATGGACTTTACAGTCCACAGGTTTTTTTTTCTTCTTTCCCCATTCTCTTCCCTCCAGAAAAAAGAGATTGCATAAAGTAAAAAAGGGTCTCAGTTCTAGAGTTACTGGTCGCATTCTCCTTGTGCATTGGTAGAAATTTACCACAGGAGTAACTACTTTTCATCAGCAGCATATATGACTTGGTATCACTTCAAACTCGATAAATTTTAATGGTTTTGGTCTGTCATATAAAGTGACAGTAATGCTTCTGGAGATCAGTTTTCTTTGGATTTTTTTGTTTCATCCTTGCACTTTTCAACAGACAGCTTTCAAAAGTATTTAAAAATACATTAGGTAAAGCTTGAACTTGCTTATATAAGCAAAGAAAAAAAATTCCTAATAAAGATTTGGTTCTCTTTTGACTTACTACCTGAAAAATAATTATCTAAATAACCTCACAAAATGCTTCCCAGAAAACACTTTTCACATGTAAGCAAAAAACATGCAGTCTCTCTTTGAACATAATCTCTTGACTATTTACAACTCTAATGGTTACTCTCTTTCATGTTGTATTAAATTCAGATTAACAACCCAGGCATCTCAACAAACCTCTTCTAATCACACTATAGCTTACTAAAGCTGCTAAATGCCTTAAAAAAATCACACATAAAAACTAACAAAAGTATGAAGAGGAGCAACAAATGCAAACTCCTAAAACAAAAAAAACCCAAATTATAAGTAATAAGTGACTGGATAATAAGGTAGGCAACACAAGATCATCACCACAACAGCCTCTGTTTTCATGTTTCAAGAAAAACGTCATTGCAAAAAGAGCATTGCAGTGCTCTTGAAAGTCATTTTTCTCTTAATACATCTGATTCCACTATTTTGCTCAGGTTTAATTCTGTTGCATTAGTGTGCTGTACAGTGAACAGCCAAGCCATATGAATTTCCCGCAGAATCCAAAACTGCAAGACTGACTTTTTTTGACAGTCACATTTCATCTCATATGTGTTTTCAACTCTGTCTTATTATGGAGACATAACTGGTGAGTTTCAAGCTCTGTTACACAGATTCACTTCTTGAAATGCAACATACAGTGAATAACCACCATATAAACACACCCTTAGAAGGGGTCATGAGCTGATGAAAGTTGCCCCAAATCTGTCGTCCAGGTGGCAAACATAGATCCAACTGGGAACTCCTACTTCAGGAAGCACAGAAGAACTGCTGCAAGGGAAACAGCATGATGTGTCCCCAGGAAGTCAGTTCCTTCTCAGCTGACCAGCTACAAGAGAGCCTGTGATAGACATAGTCCTTTGCAAGAGTCCCAGCTCCAGAGCTTTGTAGCAAGTGATGGCACTACATGGCACTCATTCTATGAAGATTACTTTTTATATATAAAAAAGAAATATATATAAAGAAAGATTGGTCAAACTTGAACCATTACATTGTCTATCAATATTTCTTCTTATTGGGAAAAGTAAAAATGGTAGCACTGAACTCTGAGGATGAAGCTTGTTACTAACAAAAAAGGAACAAATAACAAAAAGTCTACATTTGGAAACAAAGGAGGGATAGCTAATTCAGCTTCCGTCAATACGAGATATGGCAGATACTATGCCATCTGAGCAATAGTCAGCATTTATAAAGTT